CAGACCGTCACAAGAGCAGCTCCTGTGCATTACAGGCACTTAGACGGGACTTACAGATCCAAACTGACAAAACAATCATAAATATCACAAACTTTAAATTTAATTCCATTTAAAACTGCCATCATTTCATTAATTATTTTATAATTGACATGTACAGACTTTTTCCACGTATAGACTTAGGTTCCTTTTCCTTGGAAGAGCTAAACCATAACTCTCAAAGTAATGTGGCCCAATTAAAACAGGTGGATTTAAATTTCATCCTCATATTCTTTAGTAAATAAAATTTTTAAAAGAGGAAACAAGATAATAAAAAGCAAAACCAAATCGGGAAAAAGCATTGACTCTAATACAAAGGACAAAGTGTCAATTTTAAATTAAAAGCTAGAACAATCAGTAAGCAAAACTTTGGGCCCAAAATATAAAGATATGAAGGATATAACAAGCAATTTAAAAATGAAATGAAGGGCTTCCCTGGTGGCGCAGTGGTTGAGAGTCCGCCTGCCCATGCAGGGGACACAGGTTCGTGCCCTGGTCCGGGAAGATCCCACATGCCGTGGAGCGGCTGGGCTCGTGAGCCATGGCCGCTGGGCCTGCACATCCGGAGCCTGTGCTCCGCAACGGGAGAGGACACAGCGGTGAGAGGCCCGCGTACCGCAAAAAAAAAAAAAAAGAAGAAGAAAAGAAAACAAATACTCAGCAGCATATGAGATAATGCATATTCTCCCTAATAGTCAAAGAAAGGCAAATCAAAATAATGGGATACTATTTCTTGATAATGAATTTAACAAGATAATGAAGGTATTAATAATTGAATGTGGTAAGGAAACAAAAAACTCTTCGAGAAATATTTGTCTATATTTATCAGAATCCTTTCAAAGTTTCGCTATTTTACTCAGCGCTACTACTCCTAATAATCTTGAGAAGATAAATCTAGATACAGAAACCCTGTATACTCAAGTATGTACATCAGAATATTACTCACAACACCAGAAACAACTTAAATGTCCACTATAAGAAGATAGTGAAGTATCACTTTCTTAAAGCGAAATAATTTTTCAGATTTCCATTTCTTTACTTTCCCCTCTCTTTCCCCGGGTACTGCCAGGCTGCAGGGGAAGGACAGCCGTCCCAGCATCGGGCGCATGTCCCGTAACTACTCCTGGTTCTTCCCCCACCAGGTACTAAACCACGCCGCGCTCTGGACTCCACCTATATCTTGTCTCTTTGCATAAACTATTTGAGGTCTGCCATGTTTCTCCTCTGTGTTCTAGGGTAACATTAGTGACATGGTTAAATGCAACCCAGTAACGCTGGAAAGACCAAAGCAGAATATTCCATAATAAACCCCACATGATACAGAACTGGAAAACTGAAAATGAATACCTACTAAATACCCTAAAATCCACTGTCAGTGAGAAAGGGCTCTTATATTCTTTCATTAATGCCATCATTTCATTATTTTATCATTGACATCAGATGAAATTGGTGATTGTGATATTAATGTAAGATAAATTTGATGGCATAAGGCAAAGGTATATTTGTGACTCTCTGTTATACCTGCCAACAAATTTCATGCACTTTTGTCCTCAGAGGAAAGCCGTGTGGAGCGGTTTTCCTCCGTGGCTCACCTACAAGTTCCCTGACCTTCTTTCCTGCACTTCTCCTGGGTCTGCAGCCCTACCCCAGACCACACTCTCACCCAGGGCACCCGTCCCTCTACATCATGCTCCTCTGTCTTCTTTTGATCTCTGGTTTCAATACCATATGCATCTTTTTTGCCAGAAATCACAGTCTTGCTTGGCTATCACCTCAGCAATGATAGATTAACTATGAACTTATTCCCACCTCAACAGTGAAGTATCTAAACGGATATATCTTTTTTTTTTTTTTTCCCCTCACTGTTGCGGCCTCTCCCATTGTGGAGCACAGGCTCCGGACGCGCAGGCTCAGCGGCCATGGCTCACGGGCCCAGCCGCTCCGCGGCATGTGGGATCTTCCCGGACCGGGGCACGAACCCGTGTCCCCCGCATCGGCAGGCAGACTCTCAACCACTGCGCCACCGGGGAAGCCCTCTAAATGGATATATCTTAAGACAAATACACCAATGCCCTCCGCATGTCCAATAAGCCCAAAGCTGACAACCGCCCTCCGGAGCCACACTGGACCAGGCCCACTTGGCACAGCTGCGTTTCCCGGCAGGACCGTAGCAGCATCCTAACAGCCTCTCGGGTCCCAGCCGCCCTGTGGAGGCCCTGCTCCTCCTGAGCTGGTAGGATTCCCCCTTCATTTTCAGAGCCCGACTCTTAGCCGCATGCATTGCTAATAATAATTCCATTAGTACAAGTATAATCTTCTTCCAAAAGACTCACAAGTCTTACTCTGACAGTTGAGCAAATGTCAATGATGAAAAACACTACTTTTGAACCATATCTCATAACTTATTCTGAGGGGCTCAAATCTTTCATTTTGGAAAGAGGATAATATCTCTCTCAATTAAAATTTATTAAACAAGAAAAAACTAGTCATGGGATCTGTCTCCTGCTTTCCCCAAAGTTATGTTATGTCCCTGGAATAAAGTCAGCACCATGCCAGTCACTTTGAATCAGCTCCTGAATAAGTCCCAGGAGCTCCACATCACCCTCCTGACTGAGATGCAGGAGCTAATGCTCCCTTTGCCGACGCTCATGGACACAGCTGATCCTCATGAGGGCTGGACTTTCGAGCGCCCCAGCAGGCGTGCAGGGCTGGTGGGTCCCTCTCTCCACAGTCCAGCAAGAACAACCTTGGGCAGGGCTGGGCATCACCAGCCACCAGGGAGCGGCCAGCGCTGACCACACAACCAGGAAGAAGGGGCTTGGAGGATTTGGCTTAGAACTACACGCATGTATTCAAATCCAGGGAAGTCACCTGAAATTCATGAGATGAAAAATAATAATAAAGAAAATGAGGAAAGGGTTGGAGGGGGGAGGGCAGCCATTTTAGCTGTAGCATTAAATCTGCAAGATTCAGAGGAATTAGAGCCACGTACCTATCCCACTAATTTGTCATGTGTAACTTTTCCCTGTGGTAGTACACCCATGGTATTACTTGCTTTGTCTCTCGTGGAGAGGGGAACATTTATAAGGTGCCCACCACAAAGCCAGCCCTTGCATGTTTTTACCCTCCTGCCCCTACTAGGAGGTAAGTATCACCACCCAAGACGCAGACACCTCAGCCGTGGAAGGTGAACCTTCCAGGCCCCTCTCTGTTGGTCAGGAAATGGACCAAGCCACCCTCTATGCCTAAACATGCATTTTAAATGTTAATAGGCCTGGATTAGAACTCAGAGCGGTCTTTTTCTACAAGTAGAAATTTCAAATGGTTGTTTGATGGACCATTTAGTATATGTTTTAAAACCAAAGCTTGAGTCCAGTATTTCGTTCTATGGACACAATTTTAAACATCAGTGTGAGGTGCACCAGAGATTCAATAAAACAGAAGAATACTCCATACTGAAAAGGAAGCATGAGGATTCTAAGGTTCACCCTGATCTCGGAAAAATGTTAGTGAACGGATAGCATGTATCTTAAATCAGATAAATATGGTACTAAGAGACAAAGCCCGTTAAACACACCGTGAGTCCATTACTGAAGAAGTGTTGCTCCTTCACAGAGATCTTCTGACCATTGTGCTCAGACAAAACACAGGACTTTGGAACAATGAGGGGTTTTGTTAGAAATTTCTATTACAAAGACATTTAGCACTGCATTATTTTATCATCATTCCTCCAATTTAATAGCAGTTCTACAAAAACAAGTGTGGTAGAGAGTATGAACGTTTGAAAACCTTCCTGCAGGTTCTGCGTGGCCTCGTGGTTTCCTGAGATGCTGAACACGAACGTCGGCTTCTCCAACTGCTGGCTCTAGGGTGGCAGCTTGTCGGGAGCCAGCGCGTCCCTAAGAAGTGCTGGTCCTCCTTCCTCCCATTCTTTCTCATGTGCATAGGTCACATTTGCTTCTTTCATTCATGAAAATAACCTCGATGGCAACAGAGACCTACACAACGTTTTCTAATTGAAAATTTTCAAGTATTCAAAAAAGTTCCTCTGATCAGTTATGCTAAAGGGTATTTTGAGGCCAACACTTAATTTTCAGTATTCCACCTGTCAATCACCACACCCAGCCCCCTGCCACACACCTTACTTGCCTCCTAGCCTAGCTCTTCTCTTCTGGCTCTGTCACTCATGACCACTCCTCAGTATTACTGGCTGTGCTACTGAAAGGCTTTAAAAAGGAATCCAACAATGTCAAAAACCACAGTAAAAATTTAAAATAGGTAATTGTAATGCATACTATGAATTAAGAAAAGCTGGTACACTACCGTATATGCAGCACAACCTCATTTTGGGAATGAGTGAAGCATAACCAAGTGTACATCCCAGGATTGTTTATACGAGGATAGAAAAACTTAAACCTAAGTACCCATCAGCAGAGGATGCAAAGGCTAAATTAGGGTCAGTGATGGATGGGGTACAAAGAACACTTCAGGTGACAGCGATGGAAGCTCTGTAGTCAAGGACACAAGCTTCATTTATTCATTTTTCCAACATTGAATACAAATGGAAAGTAAACTATGTTGCCAGGCACCATAACACACCCTGGATTGCAGCAATCCAGTGTCAGGGAAAGGAAGCAGGTACGGAAAACAGCATCGATGGTACAGCCCCACATAGTACACACCCACACTCGCGTGTGCAATCACACAACAGTTGCACTCTCGGAATCAAAGCTTCAAACTTAAAGGGACAAAGTGAAATCAATATTCCCAAATACTCAAGTTTCATTAATATTTAACATTGCTTACATCTTTTACCAAAAAATCTCCCTCTGCATTTTTTTTTTTTTTTTTGCAGTACGCGGGCCTCTCACTGTTGTGGCCTCTCCCGTTGCGGAGCATGGGCTCCGGACACGCAGGCTCAGCGGCCACGGCTCACGGGCCCATCCGCTCCGTGGCATGTGGGATCTTCCCAGACCGGGGCATGAACCCGCGTCCCCTACATCGGCAGGTGGACTCTCAACCACTGCGCCACCAGGGAAACCCCTCCCTCTGCATTTTAATAGAAGATCATTCACTTTTCTGGGTTGATTTGCAGTTGATGTTACTTTCTCTTAATCCTTTCTCCTAATTAAGATTCTTTAAATTTTGTAGAACTCCTTCTCCATCTAAATCCTTTTCACAGGAATTTCAAAATCATTTCCTTACTTGCCGTGTACTTGCTTTCTTCCTTCAATGTTCCTGTCCATGGATATCTCATTATTTTTTTATATTTCAGTTAGAGAAATTGTCCATCGGCACCAAATGACAAACACTTTCACTGTAAAAGAAAACACCCTCGATTTCTCTTTCTCCCCAGTAAAGGTCTACTTCCTAAGTTCATCTCCCCGCACTCGATGAATGCTGGCATGTAATCTTTAATATTACAAAATTGCACCAAAATACAGGCTGACAGATAGAAAAGCTATGATGTGAGACTTGTATGAAACAGAGGAGACCATACCTGGGCAGCGGCCGGGCTGAAGGCCACGGCCGTGACCGTGTCCATGCGTCCTGCCAGTCTGCAGCAGGAAGTGCTGGAGCTGGTTTTGTACACGAACGCCTAGACGACAGAACGCACAGGTGTTCCGCGCTGCCGACTCGGATGAGCCACAAGGAACTGTGCACAGCTGAAGTATGTTCGCCAGCTGACCAGGCATCAGAGCAGCAGCTCGTCGACAAAATGCCGCCTAAGCCACGGAGGTAACTTCATGAAATGTGCTTTCCTCTTTTCCCTTTTAGAAAGTTTATCATCTTCACGAATTTACTTCATACTTTCTATTTTCTATCATAAGCTTCCACAATACCCTGTGAACAGTTTTAAATATACGTTTATTAGGTGGATGGACCTACAGTCTGTCATAGAGTGAAAAAAGTCAGAAAGAGAAAAACAAATACCGTATGCCAACACATGTCTATGGAATCTAAAAAAAAAAAAAAATGGTTCTGAAGAACCTAGGGGCAGGACAGGAATAAAGATGCAGGTGTAGAGAACAGACTTCAGGACACGGGGAGGGGGAAGGGTAAGCTGGGACGTAGTGAGAGAGTGGCACGGGCATATATACACTACCAAATGTAAAACAGATAGCTAGTGGGAAGCAGCCGCATAGCACAGGGAGATCAGCTCAGTGATTTGTGACCACCTAGAGGGGGGGGATAGGGAGGGTGGGAGGGAGATGCAAGAGGGAAGAGATATGGGAACATATGTATAACTGATTCGCTTTGTTATAAAGCAGAAACAAACACACCTTTGTAAAGCAATTATACTCCAATAAAGATGTTTTTAAAAAAACACTATTTAAACCTTTACATATTTTTTAGCTTTTCAATTCAAATTAGCTGTCTTGTGTTACATATTTACATCATAAAAAAATGCAAATGCAAAATCTCATTCAGACACACAAAAAAAGAGTAATAGCCAATCAGATTTTTTAAATATGTAAGGAAAAAACATCTGCTATAATTCTTAAAGATATCAATAAATCATAAAAAAGATTTACATACTTTCATTCTAAAAATAAGCCATTTAATGATATAAAACATAATTCAAAAATATGAAAATATGGCCCTCACTTTTTTGTGAACTGGATGATAAAATGAGTTAAATTCTGCTTGTCCAACACAAGGAGACAGCTACAGGGGTAATTCTCAGAAGAGGTCATTACAGTGTAGCAGGATGCTTGCAAAAGAGCATCACTGATGCATGATAAATGTGGCTACACTTGTCAGTAAGCTTAGAAGAAATCAGAAACGACCTATTTTCTATTTTACTGGAAATAGGACATTTGGGCCAATTGTGATTTGTGCTTCCCCTGAATTTGGACTTACAGGATGACAGGCCTTACGGGGCTGTGGTTAGTTGGAACTCTTTGATGTACACTGCGTAACTGAACAGAAATTTAAGAAAACAAGCTATTAAAACATGGTGTAAACCTCCGTAACCTTAAACTCCTGTCCTTTCATTCCATCGTATACCATTCAGATGTTTATTTTCAGGAAGTAAAACCAGTTATTTTCCCATCAAAACCCCTCAGAACCGTTTTTCCCAACCTAACACCTCTCATCCAAGAGCACGCCACGGTGAGTCCTGGAATACCACACTCGGCACTGAAAGACCCTGGGGTCTGCGGTGACTTGGGCCCCTGTCCAGTCCCTGTGTGAGCAGCTGCCCAGCACAGACGACATCCTTAGCCATTTCCTAAAGCGAATGCACTGAAACTCCTAGCGAAAAGACACGCAGTTTTCAGAGAGAGGAATTCTCCCCGCGCTGGCATCCCAGACGGTCACTCATGGCCCAGGAGGGAGCATCTGGAAGGAAACTTCCCAGGACCCCTGTAGGGTCACCCCCCTGTAGGGGCACTGGCTCAGAGAGGTGCCCACTGTGAGGGGGCCTCACAGCACTGTGTGAAGACGGGTCTAGTCACGGCCCACCTCCTGCCTGGACTGTCCCCACGCCCTCCCTGCATCGCCCCGTGGCTCTCTGGTCCAGACATGGCCACAGAGCCAGGGACCAGGAGGACAGGGGCCACGGCAGACGCTGGGCAGAGCACGTGGAATCTGGAGGATGGTCTCCCGGAGCTGCTTTGTTCTCTCCCGAGGGAACGAGGGACCCTCAGACTGCAACTTCAGGACCCACCCAGCACGGGGGACCTGGGAACACCCCCGACAGAGGGGAACCTCGGAGGCTGGTGCTGGGTCCCTGAGCAGGAGCCTGGCTGGGGCTGCCGCCAGGGTCACCAGGTGCCTGCTCCTGGGAGCATGAGGAAGGAGCTAAGTGCAAAGCCCCTTCACCCTCCTGCAGCCCGTTCCGGACCCCAGCCCCGGCCCCCAACACGCAGAGCCGCACCCAGAGGCTGAGCTGGGCCCCTGGCGGCACGACTGAGCCATTTCCAACGTCCGCGTAGACAAGGGGATGCGCAGCACCCACGCGCATGCACTCGGGCGCTGTGAGGGCACCGGCCTCCTCCTCAACCCCTCCTGATGGCCCCCCGCCCGGAACAAAACCCTATGTGACCAAGGCCCATGAGCCCAAGGGACTGACCCCTGCCCGGGTCAGCGCCCCCAGTCCAACCCCGCTCCTCCGTGACCCCGCTTCCCAAGAGCTGGGCTCCCCCATCAACCTGGCTCCCTTCCCCACGTCACACACCTGCGGCTCAGGTTACCTGTCAGGGAGGGTCCCCCAAGGGGCTCAGGCTCAGGGTGTCTGACCTGCGTTGAACCCACTTGCTTCTTTCTTTGTAAGACTACAAAATTCTCAAGTGTCAGGACCTTGCTGTGTCATTCACTCATGTGCCCCTGTACTTGGAACAGTGCCAGATACCAGTGGTTACCAATAGGTATGATACAACTAAAGGGGTTCATTCACAGGTAGATTACTATACATGCGCACACGTGCACACACGTGTATATACACACATGTACATGTACACAAAGGTGCGTGTGCGCGTGTACACATAAAGCCTGCACATATATGTGTGCATGTGCACTGCGTGTTACATGGATATACACATATGTACCCACACACTGGCTTTAAGGCGGGAGTTGTTGAAATAAACACTGCCACAGTAAACCACCCTGGGTTATTTCGACTGAATTTTTTACAGAGAGAAAAGAGAAGCACTTGGAAAACCAGATCTTGACAAAACTTAATCTCCTCAAAGTTTCATGTAAAATCCACTATTACTCATTATTTTTGTCAGAGCTATAAAAACAGGGAGCCTTTAAAAGAAATGTGTCACTTCTTAAGGTGCATCTCCTCGAAAGGGCGCTGCAGGGTAAGTCGTGCGGGGAGAGGCTCCCGGCGCCCGGCCCTGGACTCTGCGGGTCCGCCGGCTGTTCCTGCCCTTCTCCCGAGGCGACCCGGCGGGCTCTGCTCGGAATCGAGCTGCACCCGAGCCCCCACTGGAGAAAGCAGCTTATGGCCCGACCCGGGCGCAAGGAGAGCTGTGCTCCGCTAGGGCCGGGAAGAGCGCCACCGGCGCGTGCGGGACAGGCGCGCTGAGCGCTGCGAACCCGCGCCTGCCGCCCAGGGACGGGAGGTGCGCGTCGTAGCGACCCCTCCGGTGGAAGTGACACCAGATCCATGCCGAGCCGGCCCCGGCAGAGTGGGGCGAGACACAGGAGCTGGGCTTCCCACGTAGGACACCCAGCCGCCTTCATCTAAGAGAGCAGCTCACCAAGACCACACCCACGGCCCAGGCCACGGGGTCCCTCCTGCCTGAGGCGAGGCCCCCGACGGCTCAGCTGGGCGCTAAGAAGGAGGTGGCATCCCAGCCTGGTTAAATACTGCGCCATGGACCAAGGAGTTTAACGTGAACGAACAGTGTTTGGGAAAAAAAGGCAATTTAGAAGAGCAAAAAATGTATTTAAAATGCCAAAATGCCAAAACATAAAACGTTCACAGGGTGTTAAAGGGACTTGACTGACCCCTGCTGAGGTTCCAGCAGAAAGAGACTCACAGGCCGCCTTACGTCAGGGCCGTGGAGAACCTGAGGCAGGATAGACCCTCCCAGTGCCCCGTGGGCAAACAGAAACGCGCCTCCGCACCATGCAGATGGGCCCCTTAAACTACCCGCGGCAGCCCCCTGGGCTCTGACTACGCAAGGCATTTTTGAGCGCCAACTGTATGTCAGCCAGGTACGGCTCTGTCCTCAAGGAGGTCGGAGTCTCAGGATCTCACGGGGAGGGTGCGTCACACACCGTCCCCCGGCACGGAGAGCTTTAGGGAGGCACGGCCGCTGAGCAAAGGAAGGCCCTGATTTCAACCAGACAGGCCAGGGCGGCCTCGTGGGGCAGCGATGGGGCCAGTGTTGACACAGAAGCAGGAGTTTGCCGCTGGTCCAGGCCACGGAGGCAGGTGGTGGGAGGTGCAGTCTGGCCATCTGCCAAGACCTCCCGGGGGAGTGCTGTAGACGTGGAGCATGTGAGCTCATCTGTGTTCTAGCAACAGCTCCCCGAGGCTGGATGGGAAGAAGCCAGCGTGGGGACCCTCACCCAGTGGCCTTCTGCCAGGGTTAAGAGCATGAGCTCTGCGGCCAGCCAGTGCCTGAGGTCACACGCACGGCCCACAGGTCTTGGGACTTGCCAATGCTAGGGTCTCAGCCGCCTCGTCTGTGAACTAGGATTCCTGTGAGGACACCACGCCGGAACATGTGGCGCATAGGAACCCTCGGTGAGCAGTATTTATCACCAACTGCACCCAAGAGGGGACAGGGAAACATCTGGGGTTTGCCCTTTTTCTGTCCTGGTCAGTGCCCCTGGGGCATCTAAAACTCTCCAGGGCTTGGTGCATGTCACAGCAGCGCCCACGGTGCAAGAGAATGGCCTGGGCCCAGCAATTCGGGCCCCCCTTGGATGCCTGGCCCGAGACCAGAGGGTCCACACCCACACCTGAGGAGACCAGGCAGGGATGAGACAAGAGCAGTGGCCAGAGTCTGCCTGCAAAGTTGATTCCAACTCGGAAGCAGCTGGGACCTCGAGGAATTGAAAGCCAGACGTTGAAATGGTGGCGTGTGTTTTAGCAGCAGGGTGGTTGGGGAAGAGCCCGGTGCAGACGGGCTGCTTGGAGTGGCAGGAGACGGCCGCTGGGACAGGAAGGCTGACAGAGGGCTGGACCGCACACCCCTGTACCTCCCTTCTGAGGGTCTGCACTCACCGCGGTAACACACGTCAACCCTCTTCCGGGATTTTAAATACGAGTCAGTCTGGGAACAGACAGAGGCCTGGGGAGACCCGGGGACCAGTCCAGACCCTCCAATACATGGGAAGTTGAACGAGTTCAGTCAACCTGCTTCTCTATTTTATGTACCTTCAAAGTCCCCGTAAAATCAAGTTCTGTCTAACAATAGGAAGGACGTGGGATTCCAGCCAAACGCAGACTTCTCTCATCTTCCAGACAGAATAAATGTCCCAGTCCTCATTGCTCTGCGGCACCCTTTCCTCTCATTTTACGATGCTTAAAGAGTCAGCTTTGTGTAAATGTTATTCACGCCCACATCTACCACCTTCTAGATGACAATTTCTTTGAAAGCAGAAATCATTTCTAATTCAGCTTCTGACCTTCTACTGCAGGAAGCAAAATTCTGTGCATTTCTCCTTAAACTCGTGGGAACAAACGAATTGTGTGAAATTAGTTGCACGCAAAGATCGAAAGTTTTCTAAGGCAATGTCCACCAGCCTTCATAAATTTGTATTTTAAAAATGGCTTCCAGTTAATGACTTTAGCATATGCTAAGAAATTCACATGCATTATCTTATTTAATCCTTATAACAGAGAAAAGTATTCTATGCAAAAGGTTAACATATCTTCTTTTATGAAATGGAAACAGAGGAAGATGTCAGACAAAACAGCATCACGTTACTTTTCAAAATGAAATAACTTGTCTGAGAATATGAGAAAAACTGGTTACCTAAGTTGAAAAGAATCGTCTTTACCATTATTCTAAAGCCAGGGCTTTATTTTTATAAGTAAAAGAGCGTCTAAAGCTCCAAAATCGTATTTTTCATTTTTAACTTAAACAGATGAAACAAATTTGGGAACCAAATTGAAAAAAAATCTCACACTAGGCTCTAATATGCCAAGTTTCAATCAAGTCTTTATGACTCTGTGATAAACTCCAGAAAGAAATAAAGATTAGAACATGCAAAAAGAAAATGTAGAGTGGAAACGCTGACAAGCCATTTTCCACACACAGAAAATGATGACGGTGACGACGACAGCAATGATGATGACAGCTTTGAAACGACCACCTTTAATAAGAGTCACGTACAATACATTCAAAAGTTAAATGAGCAAAGAAATCTTTTTCTAATACTGCAACTCATAATACTTCAGAGACAGCAAGTGTCCGAAAGCATGGAAAGAAGTATGTTTTAAATGTAACACTTAACAGCATTAAAGGAACATCACATGTGCGATTCCTATTTATCTTCATGACTGAAACATTTTAACTAAAGAATGGCGATATTTGGTAAATTTAGTCAATTCTTACTGCATTATATTAACTAAAGACTCTAAGAAACTCTGCAAAAACTGATCAAATACACAACCTATGTAACATTTCAAGAGAGACACTTGGATGTTAGAAATATGTATCTTTAAGATAAATTTTACGTACTGCATTTTGAGAATAGTACATTAAACATTCTAAGTGCTATTCGTCAAACTATAACCCCTAGAGTCTGTGTGCAGACTGGTCTTTTCAAGAAACCCATTGCCCTCAGCACGTACATCTCATTTCCTGTAAGGGACTGTATCCGTTGCTTTCTGTTGGTAACAGTCAGTTGTGACTCAGGTCAGCAGATTCCAGGGATGGACAGCCATCCCAGGGGCACAAGGACCTGCATCTGGAGGTGAACGCCTCTGCCCTTTAAGATTCTGTGCCGGGGCTTCCCTGGTGGCGCAGCGGTTGAGAGTCCACCTGCTGAGGCAGGGGACGCGGGTTCGTGCCCCGGTCCGGGAAGATCCCACATGCCGTGGAGCAGCTGGGCCCGTGAGCCATGGCCGCTGAGCCTGCGCATCTGGAGCCTGTGCTCCGCAACGGGAGAGGCCACAACAGTGAGAGGCCCGCGTACCGCAAAAAAAAAAAAAAAAACAGTAAAAAAAAGAGAGTCCTTTTAAGCAATGCGGTAAGACTTCACTGAAATAAAGAGGATACCCTTGAATCATCATGCAGATTTCAGAAGGCATTATACATTAAACCCTTAATTTAGAAAGCCATTCCAAATATATCAAAAATCAAAATTGTAGCTGTAGTCCTACAAACAAAAGTTTTGTTCACAAGTATCTCAGTTGTTCTTTTGGGTAACAAAGTGTCTTCTGAACTAAACTGTGAGGCAATGAATTCATTGAAGGGGCCACCTCCTCAATTCCCCGATTTTCAACCGTCAGCTGTGAGTATTTTTAAACACATCCTCTGTAGAGACAGACTAGCTACATCCTACAGAGAGAACCTGCGGATTCACAAAGGCTGCTTCGCATTCCCGCAGCACCTCCATGGCTGTCACCCAGTCTGCCTAGCGCTTGAAACACCCAAACGCTCCACCACATTTTAAGTGAAAATGGATTACCAGTAAAATCAAAAACTGGGCCCATAAACTAATCAAAGACAAAAGTGTAAACATTAACATTCGATACAGAATTAAAATGTCTTCTAATGTCAAGGCTTAGAAGAATTTCATGCCCAGTAAAAACTACCGTTGAACCTGGCAGCAAACTGATTGCATCGTACCTTTGCATCTGCTAAACACTTTAAACAAAGTTGACAAAGGCTGTGCACTGTCAAAAACTCACTCGCTTTCCTTTGACAAATTTGGTGGACGGGACAAGAATGGGCTCCCGCCGTGATGGCGGCGCTGCAGCCGCACTGAGGTCGAAACCTCCAGGGTCCTGCTCCAGCCAGCAGCAACCACGAGGCCTGTGACTCGGTTGGGAACTCCTTCCAACCAGAGACGTACAGATGGATGATTAGGTATGATTCTGAGGCCCAACAGGAGAGGCCTGACCACAGCCCCTCCCCTAGCTGATCCCAGGCAACTGGCCGGAGCCAGTGGGCACACTGCTCAAACGGTGGGGAGACCCGGGCGGTATGGATTTCCAGGTGGGAAGCCAAGAGTCTACTTAGAGGTAAGTGAGGCTGCAGATGTCAGACACCCCATAATAGAGGTGGAACGGCCGTCCGGCATGTAGGTACTGAGATGGAAGACAGGTCTGGGCCAGAGGTTAGACGGCGAGGCCGTGGGCGGGAGAGACCCCAGGCACAGGCTGCACACATGAAGGACAAGCCCTCGACACAGCACGTGGTGGGTAAACTTCATCAATGTGGCATAGGAGGGACAATGTACCAATGACCTAACCTTCAATGTTTAGCCCAGAGCACTGTCTTAAAAAGTATATGTGGGAGGGCTCCCCTGATGGCGCAGTGGTTAAGAACCCGCCTGCCAATGCAGGGGACATGGGTTCGAGCCCGGGTCGAGGACGATCCCACATGCCGCGGAGCAATGAAGCCCGTGGACCACAACTACTGAGCCCACGTGCCTAGAGCCCGCACTCCAAAACAAGAGAAGCCACTGCAGTGAGAAGCCTGCACACGGCAACGAAGAGTAGCTCCCGCTCGCCGCAACTAGAGAAAGCCCGCGCACAGCAATGAAGACTCAACGCAGCCAAAAATAAATAAATAAAATAAAATAAATTTTTAAAGAAAGTATATGTGGCGGAAAAGTATAGAGTAGAAAGAGTACTAGGTTCAATAATAAACCCGATGCTAACACCAAAACATGCAGAAATCCTCACTCAAGGCCAGAATAATCAGGGTGACACATTTCTGCTATAGGTGCTTTTTGGTTGGTTGGTTTGGGGTTTTCTTTTAGCAAAAGGTTCTAGCATAAAGATGTCACATTTCTAACCAAAATATACTAGAACCTGTAACACCTTGTATCAGTCCTTCTGAAATTTCAAGTATAACACTTTTCAGAAGAATTTGACTTAGACCTTTGAATAAATTAAAAGTTTATAAAATGAGTGTCTGAAGCTCAGAGCTTTGCTTCTAAATAAATTAAAATCAGTGCTCTTTATGTTAAAATGATGATGTTAGCCACAAAAGCTCAAAACTTAAAGTTTTGGAATCAATTTGCTATTCAACAGCAACCGCTGTAATTTTTGCCATCTTCCACATGAAATGGGGTAAACTGTTCAGTTCATCACAGGGTGCACATACTAAGTGTAGCAGTTTACTTTTTAAATGTACTAAATTACTATGTTATTTAATAGGCCAGAAGCATCAGGTTATATCACCCTGCTATATGTCATATGCTCTATTGCCTCCAGTTTTATTTTTCCTTTGAGGCTCTTTTCACTACTGAGATGAAGCCATTACACAAAGGACCATGAGCTCCCCGAGTTCCCGGCGCTCAGCCCGAGCCTGGGGCTTGGACCTTCAGCACATGCTTTCGCTGGAAGGGCAATGGTAAGGATGTGATGGGAGGACAGCAGGAGAAAGGATACAGGGATAAAAATCACTCACTGCTGATAAGCTAGTAATCTGCTGCATCTGTCATGGGGATCCTGAAAACAGGCGTGCACCTGCTCTTCTGTTTATACCTGGAAGAGAACGAAACATGATCCATCATTTTGTTTCCCTTTCACTACAACTAAAGATTCTACCTTTAAAAAACTTGAAAATAAAAAAAAGTTTTCATGCCACTTAATAATCATATTTTACTAACACTAAAGGAATAAGCGCGGCTGTAAGCACGAAAGGCGCGTCACACGCGACCCCTCCATCAAACCACAAGGACACCTGGAAGCACAGCAAATACAGAGCAGGGACGGGAAGCGAGCACGCTGGTCTCGGGAAGAGGAAAGCGGGGGGAGGGAACGGGGCTCGGAGGGGAGGCCTCCAGTTTTCTCTGCAAGGTTTCGTTTCCTCAAAAAGTTTTGAAAAAAAAGACAGTAAAGCATTAATATCTGCCGAAGTCAGGTGTGGCCAGGCAGGTGTTCAGTAGCCCACACGAACGTACATCTGTGGATATATATGAAATATTCCGTAATTTCAACTTATTATAAACAGCAATGGTTCTACATACGAAATGAGTTAAATATGTTGCTGAACCAGGGTGATGACCCCCTTTCCTGAGCCCCGGCCACTGGCAAGATCACCCCAAGCCCAGGGACGGCCCTACAGGGAAGCTCCACGTGTGGAGAAGGGGGATTTCTGGTAACAGGAGGCTATTATCACATTTTGGATGGCATTTGTAAATGTAAACGCTTTATTTACACATAACTCCTTGTTGAAATGCGGCACCCCGAGTCCAGACAGGACAGGCCCGAGAGGAGATGACTGCCTTCATGCGGCGCCTTTGCTGGTGTCGATGTGATGCTCGAGCAGCTGAAACTCAAGGCCGAGGACGACAAAATAAACGCGTCTATGTAATAAAACTGCACAGACTGTACAGACTTAGGAAATGTCTTTGCCCTGCAATGAAAATCAGTAATTATTACTAACAAAATAAATGTCAATAAAAACTCTACTGCTCTAAATATGAAATCCTTTCATCTTAACACCAAACATCTATTTATTCTAAATGTATAGAATGTACTTTGTTAGAACCAGCTTAGTTTTTGGTTTTTCTTCCTGACTTTCTAAAAGATGTTACATGATTAAATTTTACTGTAATGAGTGTTTTGAATTCTGGCCGTTTAAAAACTCTAAAATAACTGGGCAGTAAACATATTCAAGCCAAAATTCTAAACCTGTTTTAAAACATAGTTCTGTGGTGTCTGCTGCCTCATTGCACAGCCCATGTCACAGGGTAGAAGCTGATAGGACTAAGGGCCTAAAACAAATTCCCTCTCTCTTCACTGCTGCCAAGAGCCTCACCCTGCAGAGGCCTGGGAATTAACCAACTTTCCCTTCCTGATTAGTTTCCCCAGGATTCAGTCCCTTTTTACAAGGCTCATAGAAAATAAATGCTAACAGCTTTCTTGAAAATATGCTTTTTGCCAGCACAATCTGATGAATCGAAGCCACGTCTCCTGTCATCACCTCTTTTCCTGTCATGTTCCTGTCCCCCTTTCCCATTCCATTTCCAAATGATCTCCTATAAGTTCACTGAAACATTTTTTTCCCCAGAAGGTACTTCCTCCACATAGTATCCCTTGGGCATATTTTCATCTGTACTATAAAATCACGTTGAATTTAAATTATTCCAGTATTTTAGTATTAATCGCTGTCATTTTTAGGCCACACAAACGAAAGGCTTATTTAACTGTGTGTACATATGTGCACGCATGCATGTACTTGTGTGCTGTGCACGCATGCATGTCACGTATGTGTACACACACACGCACACCACGCACGCACACACAGAAGAAAGTCCTGAACCATCGATCAGTGTCACTGTGCTGCCCAGCTGCCCAGCCTCCTGGTTAGGGTAGGACACGGGGACCCTGGAGAAGCTCTGCTCGGACAGCGGACTGCCCGACAGTCTCCCTGGAGTCACCATTACCAGACGCAGTGCCGGCTCTGTCCTGCGGACCGACCACACCTTCAGCGTCCGTCCCAGGAAGCGGACAGTGCTCACTGCTCTGTCGTGACCTGAGCGGGACAGAGCAGGAAGGAAGGACCGAGTACCTTCATCCAAAACACCAGAACCGCACCTCGTCCAGGAAGAAGTAACGCTGGAAGCCAGAGGCATTTCCGAGCCAAGCGACCCAGAGGAACCAACGCCCAAGGAGGTGGATTTTACTTCATTTAAAGGCTAAATATGGTTTCTGAAGAAGGTGTTGAACTGTGACGTAACCCATCGGCTTGACCAGCAATTACAGCATCAGAATAATTAAACTTGCAGATAACGGACCGGTTATCACTTACTGCATCCATCCCCTCCTTTTACAGGAAAATAAGCGTCTGCTCAGGAAGGGACAGGCAGTACTGCCCAGGTCATGCCGCTGGCCAGCGCGACGGCCGTCCAGACGAGGGGTCCCGCGCCCCGTCGGCCCCAGCGCTGGGCTGCCCGGCCCGTCAGCTCCGTCCTGATGAAGCGGCGGCAAGCGCTGTGGCTTCTGTCTGGGCCCCGTCCCGCCCCGCCCTAGTGACCAACTCGAAAGGCCTTCGCAGCGGTGGGGGAGAGGGGCACCCTTAAAGTCACCCCCAGACGCTGCCACCGCCTGCCACGCTGAGGAGCCCGTGCGGCGAGAGGCTTCTTGGAGGTGGGTTCTTGGAGTCTGGGAAATGAAAACTGTGGTCCTGCGAGAAGTGGTGCCAAACGGAAAGGGCAGGGCTGGGCTGCCCACTAGACTCCGGCGGGTGCGCCGGCTGGCGACGGGGAGACACTCGCACCAGAAAACCAGCGATGCTCCCTGTGCTGCAGCAAAGCTGCGCTTCTGAGCCGCTGCCACGCGCTGGGAAGGGCTCCAGCCCCACGTCCTGGGCGCCGTGATCCTGGGCGATCCAAGGCCTCAGATCTCCCGAGTCTGACACTTCGTGACTGAAATAGCAGGGCTAGGAGACATCCTTGCCGTCGCAAGGAGCTCACCACCAGCAGCCTGTGCTCACGTGGGCTCGGCGTGTGAATTACAGATGGTAATTTAGAGATTAGACAGTGACTTGCAACATCACCACATCACACCTGTCAGAAAACTAACAGGAAGAACTGGAAACACCGGGAAAGATGCACATTGCAGCTCTGTGACATGACCTCGAGAAAACTGAGAGCTAAAATTTACCGAGCAGAAAACTATCCGAAATGGCTTTGCTGCCCTCTGGTGTAAGTTTCCGGGAGCTTCGCCGAAGCACCAAGGCCGCAGAAGGGGCGGCACCTCGGCGCTTCCTCGGGACGCCGCGCCCCCGCGCCCCCCGCGCAGACACGGCGCTGCGGCCTCCGCGTGGGCGCGGAGGGCCGGACACCGTCCCTTCGGACCTCCGGACGCGCCCCTGTCGCGCTGAGCGGCCTTTCCTCGCACGTCAAACGAGGGCGCTCGCACCACCCACCTCGCCAGGCGGCAAGAGGCCGCGGGGCCACGCGTGGTGGATCCAGCGGGGCCCCCAGTCATCCACTGCGGAGCGAGACACCCTCCTCTCGTCCTCCCAGCCCTCCCACCACTGACTAGCATCCCTCCCCGGCTCCCGACGGCGCGGCTGCAGTACCCAAGCAGGCAGGGGCGCAGCGGAGCAGACGCCATAAGGAGCCTGCCCGGCGCCTCAGGACAGACCCGCAACTCCCAGTGACAACAACGGGACCCCAACGGGACCTTCTCCTCCAAGCTCCGCCTGGGCACACGAAGCGCGGAGCCGGAGGCCTGTGCCGACGCGTGGCCTCGGGGTGAGCGCCGGGACCCCAGGGACCCCAGCCAGGACGCGCTTTCCTCTGTGTCCACGTGTCACACACGTCTTCTCTTCTCTCGCCTCCGAAGAAGACCGATATGCCGGGTGTGGGCTGGGACGCGCTCTAGAAACAGAGTGAGCGACACAAAACCCAGGCCCGCAGTCCTCTCTCCCCCAGGGAGGAGGCTCCCGCCCGGGCGAGAAGCAGGACGGACGGTGGGTGGACAGGGATGGGGCGCAAGGTCCCCACCAACAGGAAGGGCAGCGGGAAGGGGGCCAACTCGGCAGCGCCCAGACAGACGAAGGACTCAAGACCCAGAAGCAAGAGTTCTCAGCTCAGTTGCATCCTTTTATAAGAATTCGTTTTCATACAATTCCATAATACTTAATGAAATTTTAATTACTTTAATCTTCCGAAATAACTGACCCCAGGATCTGGCTTTACACCCCTTGCCCTCAGCCCGACATGAGAGGGGGTGGGCCCCCCAGGGACGCGTTCAGACCCACCCAGCCTGTCCCCGCGTCTGCCCGGTGCCAGGCACAGGCTAAGAGGAGGCATGGGGCCAGGCTCCCCACGTCTCCATGCCGGACAGCAGCGTGTGGTGGGAAACGACGTTCTAAAGCCTAAAGCATAAACACAGACCCCGTTAGTAAATTAAATATCATTGTGATCCGTGGTTTTCACACGGGACACACCACCTGCTTGTGCTCTCAGAGGTCAGGTCCTCCAGGAGGGAATTTTAATTTAGCACCTAATACTGACCACAATCAAACTATCCAGAACACACTTCTCCTATTTCCCTTAGACGATGATGGAAACAAAAACCCACTTTCCTGCCTTCCGGGTAAACGTTGAGAGACCAATCCTATTTTCAAAGCTGAACCGTATGCCCATTAACCAACTACCCGCATGGGGCAAAATGCTGTGCTGATAACAGGAAAGGGGGCTAATGATGACTCTTTTCCCCAAAATGGAAATAGAGCCCATTTTAAAATGCAGGCTGGACTATCTACTGCATTTTCTTAATTCAGCAGAAGCCCTTTTGCCAACAATAAAATCCACAGAGAGACGTCCACAACCAACGCAATCACCGTGGACACCCATCATGGGGGTTGCCCGGTGTACGTGCACGAGGGGCCCTAAAAGCGCACTCCCGACACAGGCACTGAGCCCGGCGGAGCCACGGGCCGTCCTGGAATTACATGGGCTAGAGGCTGGGTGGGTGAGGAAAAGAGACGCTGCAAGAAGCATGCCCCCCAGGCCCTGGTCTGCCCTTGGGAAGGGCCGCTCCTTCCCTCTGTCCGGAGCCGGCTGCAGACTCTGGGAAGAGCTGAGGCCGGGAACCGGAGAGAAGCCGGGGCGTGCTCATCCACTGCCGGGTGTGGCCTCCCCACCGGCTGGGGCCAGTGACCCCTGGTTCCTCCTCTATAGTTCACAAAAACACACGGACTAGTGAAAGATATTTTGTTTTTTCGGTTGTTGTTACAATACCTACCAAGTGTAAGGTTTTTTTTGTGTTTTTTTTTTTTTGCGGTACGCGGGCCTCTCACTGTTGTGGCCTCTCCCGCTGTGGAGCACAGGCTCTGGACGCGCAGGCTCAGCGGCCATGGCTCACGGGCCCAGCCGCTCCGCAGCATGTGGGATCCTCCCGGACGGGGGCACAAACCCGTGTCCCCTGCATCGGCAGGCAGACTCTCAACCACTGCGCCACCAGGGAAGCCCCAAGTGTAAGTTTTGAAGCAAGCAGCACCAGGAGTCTCACGAAGAGCGGTGAGACCTCAAGGTTTAGGACCAGGAACCTACAGGTCCCAGTTACAAAGCCAAAGAGGCAGTAATTTTAACATCATTGTCCTCATCTCAAACCTACTTGCTTAAAAAAGTTCTTTGCCTTGTTCCGTTCATAAAAATGTTTATCTACAAACGCTACTAACTTCCAAACCATGTTTCTGTCCTGTCTGTAAGACGACTTCACTCCCCCAAAACCTCGGGGCCCCTGCCACAAATATGCCCGCAGTTCCGGTCTCACAAATTACACTCACCCTTCTTGGTCTAGCGGAGCTCAGTGGAATCTGGTTTGTTAAATCTCGTCATTTCATTCCCCAGTTCAAGCCATGGTTCTAGTCTGTCCTCGTCTTGAAGGGAACGAGAGTTGCACTTAGCAACTAATAACAAGACCATAATGAGGCTGAACCATGCCCCATAGGGTTAAAAGGCCTGTCCAGAAACCATGCCCACAGGGTTAACAGCAATGGGTGACCAACAGAAACCCTCGAGCTCGTCCTACAGAACAGCAGGTGAGGGAAGAGCTGGTCAGGACCCTCACGGGTAACGCGTCCCGACCAAGCTCGCCTTATCTTTGACTCCCTAGCCAGCTCTATAGATAACGCCTCTGACGTACGGGTCCCTTGGTTACTGGGGCTTCAGTCCCCACCCTTGGGGAGCGAATCTGAGATGTGCTCTCCCGTCTCGTCATGAATAACCCCATGGCATCTCAGCGTCTGGCAAACGGACCTAGTTTGGTAACAAGACCCACTCATAAATCCACATGAACTAAAATTCTACATTTTACCTGAAAAAACAGCAGATCGTCATTGAAGACCAGGGACAAGTGGTTGACTACGCCACAGGCCAGCTGCTGTCCATCTCCTGCTTAAAAACGTGAGAGGAACTCCTTATAAATCATAACTCAGAGGAGTCACACTTGCAGCAGATAAAATGTAGAATCTCCGGTTAACCTGGCGCTCATTTTCTCAGGTAGTGAGGAAACCCGAAACAGGTAACAACAGTCTGCCCATGCCCGGGCACCGAGGGCCCGCCGGGTGCCTCACGTCGTGGCCCGACTTCTACAGCGAGGAGCCTGAGGGCGGGGAGCCAAGGGTCACGCCCAGGACGCAGGTCTGGGCCCAGGCCACCCACTCAACGGCTCTTGAGAGGCATATGCTCGGCTAAGCCATTCCATGTGAACAGTTCCCTAAAACAAGGGAGAAATCAGTTGTAGATCCAACATTCAAACTTGAGGGCCCACTTTTTAATCAAACACTCTGTAAGCAAGCATGTTGAGTATCACAAAAATATTCAGTTTACCGATAACACTACATGTCTAATTTCCTACAATTATTCAAAAAAATTCTTTGGCTAGAACTATATGAAAAACAGAAGGAAGTCAGCACAGTTATAAATAACCGTAAGCTTTAGGGATCTGCTCTGCACAGATGGCAAGCACTCATGGAGGTCAGGGTGAGGGGGTGCTGGTACACAACAGACCCTGGGTTGGGAGCAAAGGCATGTTCTCACCTGTAAGCAAATCTAGGGAGCAGAAATGACGTTTACTTCTGAAAAGAAGAGCTCAGAGTGAAGCTGCCTGGATGAAAACTGCCTCCCGACTTCTTCCAAACTTCACCGAGGAAATTGCTGAGGTCCCAGAAAGGAATTAAAGGCATTCTGATGCACTTGACATCACGGTGCTGCCACGAGGCCAAGAGTGCCCGGCCCTGCGTGCCCTACTCCACCTGGGGGAGGAAGGGCTCAACCCACTGAGGAACCAGAAGACCAGGCCTCCAGGGGGCAGCTGGTGGCTATTCTGCAGCTTCCCTTTGTCTATGAATAAGCCTCTATGTGCAGCCCTCCTGCCAGGCTCCCTTGGAGCTTATGGAGGAGACGGCCACACACACGGAGTGCAGACCTGGACCCACTGCTCGTGTTGCGGGAACTGCAACGCACACACAGACGCTCTGGGCTAATTCTAATAACGTTCCAGGGGAAGTGAGTTTTGATTTTAATCTCGACTCAAACACTGTCATATAACTTCAAGTAACCAAGATTTAAAAAATCTGTTTAAAATGGAACAGTGGGCAGAATAAGAGACTCTTACAAATGCAGAGAAGCGCGGCTCCGGCTGGACTGTGTACCTGAATCCTGAACACAGAGCATGGCAGCTCGGTCGTGGGCCACAGCAAACTGCCTGATGAGCCTGCTTGACAGAGGACTGTCCAAAGGGTACTCCTCACTTCAAGGAGGATAAGAGAAAATAACTGAGATAGTCCGAAGTGGCGTTAGAAATAAAAAATAAACCAGAAACAAGGTGAAGGTTTCCCTATTTACATGTATAACTTTACTCCATAACATTTATATATATGTTTACATAAATGTATATATATATATAAACTCTTATTCAAAACCATGAAATACCACCTATATGCTGCCTACAAGAGACTTACTTCAGAGCTAAAGACATACACAGACTGAAAATGAGAGAATGGAAAAAGCTATTTCATGCAAAGGAAACTACAAGAACACAGGAGTAGCAGTAATCGTATCAGACAAAACAGACTTTAAAACAAAGGCTATAAAAAAAAACAAAGAATGGCATTATATAATGATAAAGGGAGCAATACAAGAGGATATTATACTCATTAACATATACGAACCCAATACAGGAGCACCTAAATATATAAAGCAAATATTAACAGATATAGAGGGAGAAATTGACAACAATACAATAATGGTGGGGGACTTTAACACCCCACTGACATCAGTGGACAAACCATCCAGACAGAAAAGCAATAAGGCAACGTTAGTCTTAAATGACACAACAGAGCAGTTGGACTTAGTAGATATCTACAACACTCCATCCAAAAACAGCAGAATACACATTCTTTTCAAGTGCACATGGAACCTTCTCCAAGATAAATCACATGCTGGGCTACAAAACAAGTCTCAACAAGAGACTGAGGACACAAATTCTATCAGGCATTTCTTCCAACCACAATATCATAAAACTGGAAATCAATTACAGGAAGAAAAATGAGAAAAGCACAAACATGTGGAGACTAAACAACATGCCACTAAAAAACAAATGGGTCAATAAAGAAATCAAAGAGGAAATCAGAAAATACCTCAAGACAAATGAAAATGGAAACACAACTTTCCAAAATCTATGGGATGCAGCAAAATAAGGTCTAAGAGGGAAGTTTAAAGTGACACAGACCTTCCTCAAGAAACAAGGAAATCTCAAGTAAACAACCTAAACTTCCATCTAAAGGAATTAGAAACAAGAATAAACAAAGCCCAAAGTCAGCAAAAGAAAGGAGATAATAAAGATCAGAGAGGAAATAAATAAAATAGAGACCAAAAAACAATAGAAAGGATCAATGAAATGAGATTTTTTTTAAAAGATAGAACAAAATTGACAAACCTTTAGCCAGACTCATCAAGAAGAAAAGAGAGAGGACCCAAATAAACAAAAACAAGAAATGAAAGAGGAGAAATTAAAACCAATGCCACAGAGATAGAAAAAAACATTAGAGAATCCTATAAACAGTTATATACCAACAAACTGGACAACCTAGAAGAAATGGACAAATTTCTGGAAACATACAATCTTCAAAACCTGATTCAGGAAGAAATACACAATCTGAATAGATGGATCACTAGCAGTGAAATTGAACTTGTAATTTACAAACTCCCAGCAAACAAAAGTCCAGGACTGAACAGCTTCACCGGGGGAATTCCACCAAACATAAAAATAGCTAATACCTATCCTTCTCAAACTATTCCAAAAACTTGAAGAGATGAAACATTCCCAAATTCATCTACAATGCCACCATTACCCTGATCCCCAAGCCAGACAAAGATACTACAAAAAAAATTACAGGCCAGTATCACTGATGAATATAGATGCAAAAATCCTCAACAAAACATATGCAAGTTGAGGGCTTCCCTGGTGGCGCAGTGGTTGAGAGTCCGCCTGCCGATGCAGGGGACGTGGGTTCGTACCCCTGTCTGGGAGGATCCCATGTGCCGCGGAGCGGCTGGGCCCATGGGCCATGGCCGCTGGGCCTGTGCATCCGGAGGCTGTGCTCCACAGCGGGAGGGGCCACAACAGTGGGAGGCCCACGTACTGCAAAAAAAAAAAAAATATATATATATATATATATATATATATGCAAGTTGAATTTAACAATGTATAAAAAGGATCATACACTATGATCAAGTGGGATTTATTACAGGGATGCAAAGATGGTTCAATATTCACAAATCAATCAATGTGATACACCACATTAACAAAAGGAAGGCTAAAAATCACATGATTATCTCAATAGAAGCAGGAAAAGCATTTAACAAAATTCAACATCCATTCATGATAAACTCTCATCAAAGTTGGTATAGAGGGAGCATATCTCAACATAACAAAGGTCACTTATGGTAAACCCACAGCTAATGTCATACTCAAAGGTGAAAAGCCTGGCTAATACAAAACACCAAAGAATCCCTGCTGGTGCGGATATGCTGGCACCGAAGCTGGGTAAGGAAACGTCAGTGTGCTTTAGAAATGTACATGCAGGGACTTCCCTGGTGGCACGGTGGTTAAGAATCCGCCTGCCAATGCAGGGGACACAGGTTCGAGCCCTGGTCCAGGAAGATCCCACATGCAGCGGAGCAACTAAGCCCATGCACCACAACTACTGAGCCTGCGCGTCTAGAGCCCGTGCTCCCAAACAAGAGAAGCCACCGCAATGAGAAGCCCATGCACTGCAACGAAGAGTAGCCCCCGCTTGCCACTACTAGAGAAAGCCCGTGCGCAGCATCAAAGACCCAACACAGCCAAACATAAATAAATAATTTTAAAAATTAAAAGAAATGCACATGCAAGACACAGACGTAGCATCATGTCTGAGATTCACTTTAAAATGTGAAACTCTTTGGGCTTCCCTGGTGGCGCAGTGGTTGAGAGTCCGCCTGCCGATGCAGGGGACACGGGTTCTTGCCCTGGTCCCGGAAGACCCCCACATGCCGTGGAGCGGCTGGGCCCATGAGCCATGGCCACTAAGCCTGCGCGTCCGGAGCCTGTGCTCCGCAACGGGAGAGGCCACAACAGTGAGAGGCCCACGTACCACAAAAAAAGAAAATAATAAAAAAAAATAAAATAAAATGTGAAACTCTTCAGCAAAGGGAAACAAGAACAAACTTTTCTCACAATAAGTCTACTCTGTGCTGGCCACTAAAGAACCACCACCAGTATTTTTCATGTTTTGAATTCCTATGAATTATACCCAACTCAGGAGAAGAAATGTCAGCACATTCCCCACCACAAACACCGTGTGAAAACACGCAAGAGGCACAGAAAGGAAGGAGTGAAGGAAGAAGAAAACGCTGAATTTGCACTTCGACGAACATGAATTCACAAAACGACAGAGCGAAGCTAAACAAAGGTAACTCAGACAAGGAACCCCTCTGCATTTTGTATTTCAGACTACATTACACTAACCAGATTGTTTGTGAGTAGCCGGCTTAGTATTTTTTTTCTTAACAAGTCCGAAATACAGCGGAGGAGTCGATAAGACACAGGAGCTAAAATAAAAACACAAAACCGGTCTGTGAGAGCAAACTTATATGACGGAGTTATTTCAAGGAGACGTGCAACTTAAAGGCAGTTTTGGACGATTAATTCATGCAGATACAGATGTGCAGCATTTGGAAGTGAGGAAAACGTCAAGCTTATTCTTATCCTGCTAAAAAATGAATTCATATTTTTAATGAAAGTCCTGTTGTAAAGTCTACCTTCTATCCTGAAATAAAATAATGTTTCACATGAAAATAAACCACAAGCCATTTACTTTTAAACAAGATAGGAGCCATGGTGTGAGCAATAATTTCTTTATTGCTGGTATAGCTGGGAGTTTACTAAACTTTACTTCTATTTCTTAAGATAAAAAGGAATCTAAATTCTCCCGAGTGATAAACCCACACGTACACATCCTTCCTGAAAGACTGTACCGGGGCGGCACGGACAGATCCCTTCCCACGCCGGGGCGCTGCTGAGACCTCACCGGGGTGGCGGGGTTGACTTCCACCAGGGCCATCTGATTTTCGAACATGGATGTGAGCAAGCAGAAGGCCTGCACGGACCGGTCGTGAGAGAATTAATGATGAACTCGAACTGTGGACGCAGCTTTAGCTGTGCTGATCGTCACGCTGCTTGCAGGGCCCCGTGTGATCCCCTGAACTCTCACACCCACAGTCTCAGTAAGCAGCCACTACAGCGCCGTTGGGAGAAAAGAAGGATAAACCACAGTACAGACAGGTGCACTGTGCAGACTCTACGCACAGTGAATGGCCTACGACTGACCTCACGACCACCACTGGTTTTGCTCATCACAGCACACGAGCCAGCAACTTGAATGCGGAGGCTCCTGAAATCTTAATTCCCAGCAAAGAGGAACAAACAAGCAATATGGCAGGGGTGCTCCCTGCCTTCTCCCTGAGTGCCTGCTGCACACAGGCTGGGGCCGGGGGCTCGACCTCAGGACACCAGGACATTAGGAGGGAGCAGACAGGCCCTGCCACTGGGGCCCGCAGCTCAAGGCCCGGCCCATGGAGAGCCGACCCAGCCCAAGCCCGCGGACTAAACACATAACACGGCTGTGAAAGTGCTGGGAAGCGCAGCGTCCCTGTGAGAACACAGAGCTGGGTCTAGGGGACATCCAGTTGGGTCTTAAAGGATAGACCAGTGGGATAGGGGGGCAGGCGTGGGCACGAGGCCAGTGGAGGCTTGGAGAGTTCAGGGACCGTCATGTAAGCGGACAGATGAAAAGGGAGGGGTGACGTCCCACGAGGAGGTGAGGTGTGGCCTGGGCCCCACCCCTGGCCGGCCAGGATCCCTCAGAGCGCAGGGTGCAGGCAGCCGGCTCAGAAGTGGCCTCGGCTGTAGGGCCCACGGGGGGCCGGGGGGGGCGGGCAGGAGTCGGTCATCCCTGCAGCTCAGCGGACACCAGGAGGGGCGAGGAGACGTCGCTCAGCCTGACAGGTGTGAGGGTGACCAGGCACCACACCAAGGCTGCGGCGAGAACACAGGCAGAGCCGACTTCAGGGTCCCTGACGCGGCCTGGCCGAGCCCCAGGACAAGGAGGGAGGGCGCCGGGCTGCCAGCGGGACTGGGGACACCAGGAGAGGCCAGGGCAGCGCAGCGGTGACCCGCCAGCCTGGTGAGAGCAGCTGGCGCTGGGGACCAGCACATCTTGTCCTCCTCACCTCTGACCTCCAAACGCAGCAGGCAAAGCAAAATTTTAAAGTTACACAAAATTCACACCAAAGATCCTTTGAACGTAGGTCTTACCCTTGCAACGTAAAATGGCCTCCAATTCAAAGTCTGCCAACTTAAATATGAATAAACCCGCTGAGCTTCCAGTCCGCAAGCAGCTGGCATTCTCAGAAGAAAGACTAATTTTAAAAGAAAAGGAGAAAAAAGTGTCCTGATCTTCCTCAGCTCCAGGGCACCGAGAATTGCGCTGGATCCACGTGAGAGGAACAGGTGACGCACAACCTTGGCGACCTGAGGGTCCCTCTGCCTGTGTCCCAGGAGGCCAGTCCGATCACTTATAACCTCTCAGCACATCCCAGGGTCTGGGTTTCCTAGACACCCACTGTCCAGGGAAGACAGGTAGCTCAAAGGGCCACAAGCTGGGCCCAACTCAACTCTGGACGGAGGTTTTTCTCCCCCCTGATGTCACAGGAGGTCAGCACATCGGCCCCCACGAGACCCCACACAGGTGGGCTTCCCCGTGGGCGGGCTCCACGCCTGTGTGACGGCTGCACAGAAGACCCTGCCGGGTGGTGCTGACAGACTGGAGACTGACCGATAGCAGCGTGCACATCAAGGCACACACAGATCTGCCATTTCTTCTTCGTTTTTCCGTTTACAAACTAGATGCAGGCTGTAATCTGATTGATCAGCCACCTCCGGTTTCACCACCTGGACTCAGAACGGCTCCACAGACACCTCTGTCCCACATGCGCTTTGGGCATGAAGCCAAACAGCAGCCTCAGCCACTGCCCAGGCTGTTCTCGGGTCCTCAGCCTCCAACACCAGCCCAGGGAGACCAAGCGAGTCTGAGCAGAAGTGGGATCACTGCTCCCTGAGGGACGGTGGGGACCCAAGGCCTCAGACCCACTAGTCAGCTCAAGTTCAGGCCAGGCGCTGTTCCGGAGCAGGCAGGGGCACCTGTGCAGAGACACGACTGCCTGCTGCGCAAGCACAGAAGGGCTGCAGCCGCACCAGCAGCCTCCTCAGGTCTCCCACCCCAGCAGGACCAGAGGCTGCTCTTTAGTCATCTCCAGAGCTCTCCAAACTCTGTGTGGAGCCAAGGGGAATGAGGTCACGACATCACCCTTTGCCCTATTGCAGAAGTCAAGATCTGCCTAGATTTGGGTGAAGAAAATTAATCTCGCTTTTTTAATTAAATAGACTTAAAAATAACTGGCCGAGATTATCAACCTTAAGACATAAAATACGCAGTCCTAAGAACACTTACGGTTATGTCAGACAAAGATAATTCGCTTTATTTTAATCATTCTAGAAAAAAAATGAACCTAATTTAGGAAGGAGGCTTTCTCCATACGGCCGTGGTGGAGTCCATGGTACTTACAATCCACAGTCACAGGGCGCCAGGCTCAGGACAGGAAGTGTCACTTCAATCTCTTCTCCTGTGTCCGGTGCCTTTGTGGAGGGAGGCTGACTGTCTTCTACGGACAGAATTACTGACAATCTGAGAGGCGACATTAAAATGATGTCAAGGTCAAAGCTAACAGCTGACCCAGTGGGATGTTGTAGGAAATGCATGTTGCTGGAAAGCTCAGATCACAAATCAAGAAAAATCCTTAGGCTTATACATTATAAAGCACAAGGTTAGAAATAAACATTAGACCCTATATCATGAGGCCTGTAGGGAGAGAGATGGAGTCTCAAGGATAGATCCACAGAAAGGGGGTGAGGAGGAAATGGTCTACTTAGAGATAACTGTGAATTCCTAAAGTGGGCTTATTACTTCATAATAAATGAGTATTTACACAAGAAATAATGAAAGCCAAGGCAAACACATTAGGAAAAAATAGATCTAATGGATAAAGGCAATTTCTGACCTACTTTAAAAAGAAACAGCTTACAGCCATTTACCTATATATATATATATATATATATATATATATATATATATATATATACACATATATCACAAACTGAAAGAACACCAATCATGATAAATCTGAAGGCGAGCAGAGCAGAGACACACCTGCTGTAACAAGAAAATGAATCGACGCAGGTGCCTAGGAAAGAGAATCCACAGAGGGATTAAACAGTAAAACCAGTAGTTTCCCCAGCTCCTCCTGGGGCAGAGTGGCAGACACTCGGGCACCTGGCGACGGGGACAGGCGTGGGGAGGGAGGGGTGACGAGCGGGCTCAGTGGAAAAGCCGCGGACCCCTGGGCAGCCCCCGCTGTGACACTGCCAACGGGCTGGAGAGCCGCGGCCCGCTGTCCACTAAGACAGGCCTCCACCCGCCCCACCCGCCCGGGACCCTGGCTTCTCCTCCCTCTCCCTCCACCCCCTGCTGGGGAGGGGGGTCGCTGTGGGCCTGAGCCCCGTGGGCGGGTCTGCAGGGCATCACCTGGCCAGCTGCATGGCTTGGACTCCACCCCCCTGGTGCGGAAACTCTCTCTTTCCTCAGGTCAACGTGTGTCACGCAGCGATAATGGTGTCCTTCCACCAAAGCGAAGGTCCGAAGCTGGAAAAGCAAAACACGTCTAGACACGCAAGAACACGTGTAGACACAGGACTCTCACCAGGTGGTCGGATGCAAAGCAGGAAGCCAAGAAGAGTGAGCAGGGAGCCGACAGGGTGAGAGGCGGCGCCCTGGCTGCTCTCCTCTGGCCTCCAATCCTTCCCTCCCTCATGCCCCCACCCGGGGGCGTCCTCCTAACGGCACGTCGGGGGGGCAGTGCCGACTTGAGGTGCAGACACAACCCAGCGGTCACTGTCTTCTGTAAAACACTGGACCAAGCACGATGTGCTCCTGTCCCCAGCGCCACACGCCTGGTCTCTCCAGACACAGCACTGCGGACACAGCCCAGAGCTCCCAAAACCCTTGGAATCTCCTGATGCGATTGACCACGGTGTCGCTTGTTATGTTAATGAGGTGACTGCTGGAAAGCCCTCAGGTCACCTGAGGATGGGGACTGGTTGCCGGGGGAACCACCCCTGACCTCGGGGGAGGGGTGCAGGGGCTGGAGACGGACTTCAATCACCCACCGCCAAGGATCGAGTCAATCCTGCCTAAGCAATGAGCCTCCATAAAAACCCCAGAAGTACAGGCTCAGGGAGATCCAGGTGGGTGACAGCATCCCCCCTGGGGTGCGATGCCCCCACGTCCATGGGAACAGAAGCTCCTGTGCTGACGACGCCCCCAAACCTTGCCCTGGTAGCTCTTCTTCTGGCTGCTCGCCTGTATTAATCAAGCAGAGGAAGGGGCCGTGGGAACCTCTGATTTGCAGCCGAGTCAAGCAAAGTTGTGGGTGACCTGGGGACCCCACTGCCTGCGACTGGCATCTGAAGTGAGGGGCAGTCTCGTAGGACTGAGCCCTTAGCCACCTCCAGGTAGACAGTGTCAGAACTGGGTTAACTGTGGGACCCCCACTGGTGTCGTGCTGACCGGCTTCCTGGGGGACCCCCTCCCCCCGGTCTGGGGACAGAAGCATCAGAAGAGTGCGATGTGAAAGCCAAGGAGACGCACAGGAGGAAGACCTGGGTTACCTCCTCACGCGAGGTCTTTCCCAAATTATATCAACAGCCACTGTTTTTAAAAGAGAACAGTATCCATGCTTTGTGAAGTAAACCTCAATTGCTCACCTAAACTCTGGTAAATGGAATATTTATAAATGGAATATTTCCTGCCACATCAATAAACAAAGGATGTCACAGTCACCAAAGATTGCAGCCCTGCCTGCAACTTGAGCCGAGGAAACTCAGGGCTGAAAAGAAAGCTGCCATCTAGCAGCCATCAGACTGCAGCCACTCCCCTCGGCGAGCCCTGGCGAGCCCTGAGGCAACTCAGGACGTGAAAATACTGGCCCCAGGTAGCTGAGGTGCACGTCAAAGGAATGACTTCACTGAGGCCAGACTCTTGCATCTTCCCATACATAGAAAAGCGCTGGATTCCTTAACTTGAGATGCCTGGATTTCTTTATTTAACGATAGTCCTTTGATGTTCCGACTACCTGCCCTTTGCTGCCAAACTCCTACATACCCTGGCCCTCACCCTCCCAGCCCCTCGCCGGATCGGAGCAGTTCTCAGAGTTATCTGAAGTGCCATGTCCCGGGCCGCAGTCCTCATTTTGCCTCAAATAAAACTTAACTCACAGCTCTCACATTGTGCATATTTTTTTAAGTCAACAAAACTAAGTTTTTAAAAATATCAAATATCTTCAAATTTCTCAAAATATATAAAGCTGACACTAATGGTTGTACGAGATTTTACAGAGGACCGAGCTTCTCTGCAGGCGAGGCCCCGCGGGTATGAAAACCCCACCAGGCGCTGGAGGTATGGCCTCAGCAAAGGATACAAAGCAATAGTGAAACAGAGACCTTTGTGCACGTGTTCACTTAGTCATAACAACGTCTGAAAACTGGAGTTAGCCTGTGGTTCTCACCTGGCCATCCACACAGCCGGTGACCAGCTGCAGCCTTCGCTGGTTCACAAGGAGACTCGGGAGGGGAGAGGCTATTGGAGGGGGCAGGCGAGTTCTTAGCTTTAAAGGCGCCTGACAGAGTTTAAACTGGGAGCCAGCACTTTTATTGATGGTATTTCTTTTAGCCACATGTGAACTATTCCAAAGTAAGTTCTTCACCAGGAAGTAGAAACTGTAAGTGAACACAAATTTTGGAAAGTGCGTGAGTGTGGGAAGACAGTGGTCGGAGCGGCCCGGGGGGAAGCCTGGGGGGTCATCCCAGCGCCTCCATGAGTCACTAACTCCCAGAGTGAGAATATAGCACCACAAACATTAAACACGCAGCAACAACGATTCTTAAGTAAGAAACGATAAGACTACGGAATTAGTGGTGAAAACAGCAATTAAATGAATGTCTCTTTTTTAAATCGTTGCCTAGGATGTCATTTCATTTAAAACTTACTGTGAATCCACAGTGTCAAGGATTTAGAAGGAGAGTTAGGATACATGAATATTGAAAACACTGCACGTCCTAAATAAACTTTATAGATGACATCAAAATCAAGTTTATAATTGTTTTCTTAACAGTCAAATAAAGTCCCCATAGTCAATTTCAGGAAAATAATTCCAACATAATTCCAAGAAGTATGCTCTATCCCTGAGACTGATAAATGGATTCAGACCCCCTTGACTGTCACAGCTCTGGCTTACAGGTTAACATGTATTAGGTTACACATAGCCCACGGACAGAAAACAGGTAAAAGTTTTAAGTTACCTGTTAACACTGATGAGTTGTATGTTAATGATCCCATACGATGGTCCCAAACCTTTGGACAGACACACGCTTCTTTAGAAGAGGTAAAAATTTTGCCATTATTGCTATAGTTTGAACTAATACTTCTACCAAAATTACAAATTAATTTATGTGAATGGTTATCTAAAGGACAAAATAATAAGCATATAAATAATAAAACTACAGAAATACAATTAAAGATATCAGCATCATACATACAGGAAATAAACATTTCCAGAAATAACAACCTATAGGTTTGGAAGACCCAGACAAGAGAAGGTTGGAGACATTTCCAGCACTTCATCAGCACTGCCCAGGAGAGGGGACAAGGTCACTGTCACCTGTATCCTGAAGAGAAAGTACCAGTTACTAAGCAACAGGCGCACCCTCCTGTTTTCCAAACATCAGCTCTAATTCTCACACCCCTTGAGGAGACAGAGGCCATCATTTCCATTTTCCAGATAAGAGAGGTCAGGCGAGCTCGGTTAATCTGTCAGCAGCAGTTGGTAAGTAGTGAGCTGGGGTTCTGGCCCCAGCAGCCTGCTCCAGAGCTTTTGCAAGTGCGAAATTTCAAGGTGACAACAGAAGCATTTTAACAATCTCTCTCCTCTCTCGCTCTCTCTGCAGATGCCTGTTAATCACCCCCAACTTTTCTTCAGCCACAACATAGGACATCCTCACTTTGTCAGTTAGAAAATACTCACAGTGCACTGACTTGTTGGTGGATGGGAACTGAGCTTGCGTTTTGCGTTATTTCCTTCTTAAGCCTAATTTAGCTCTGAATGAATCTTCTGATGTTGGAAAGTGGCCCTGCTGCTGGGCCCCCGGGATATACTGTGGAGGTAAATTAAGGTGCTAGCTCTCCAGGGCCCTGGATTCCGGGAGAAGGAGGGTCCCGTCACTGACTCAGCCCACCTGGAATGCCAGCTCACCAGAGGGTGCCATGAGCCCCGGCTCCCCACACCCGCCCAGCAAGCAGCCAAGACATCAGGCTGAGTCCAGGACAGTCACCCCTCGGCCGTTACACGTGTGGCGGTGACCACGAACCAAAAGCACAACACAAATCGTTCACACACTACCACAGTCTAATGCCCGTCCCGTACCTCGAAGCTTCTGTCCTCGGACACCGCGATGATGACACGTGCCTGCCAAGTGCAAAGCCCGGCCGCGGTCACTGGGCCCTGGTGACCCTGCAGCTCGGCTAGGGTAGACCAGCTCTGGGGGAATTGGTGAGGGAAGACCAGGCACCGAGTGTTCTGGTAATTATTATTTTTATTAATAAGTTCTATGAATCTCACAGAAAATAGTTTCTGTTAAAATTAATTCTACTTTACATAATCCCCTGGTCCGAATTTGGAACTTCCTGTGCATAACGCTGGAAGCTAAAGTTCAGGGGCTGAGCCGAGAGGGAAGCGCCGCGGTCCTGTGGCCCCAGGAGCAGCGACTGAAGAAATGAGACTGACCAAGGCCGACACCCCCGTCACGCCCTGAAGCAGCATCTGGGGCGCCCCACCTCCCCACGGCCCACACCCCACACACGCTGCCCCGCCGCACCCGCCGCCAGGCCGGCCCTGCAGAGGCGTCCGCACTCCATGCCAGGCTTATCATTTTCTCTTCGGGAGCATCTGTCTTCCTTCAAACACTGTACGTGCTAAGTGTCCTCCTGTTCATCCTGGTTTACCTTCCCCTGACATGAAGATGGTGTTTGTTAGGTTTGGGGGGTGACCTAGTGCTAATCCAGTTAACCATCAAAAGGTGTCTGCACAAAACGTTTTAAATATTTACAGCTCAAATGCCAACGTGTCGCTGAACAAGCTCACAGCCCTGCCCTGATCCTAGGTCACCTCCACCATCTGACCTTTTGTTATGTGCGACCCTCAACTTCACAATCTGGCCCAAAATTGTTTGAAGACAGAAACGTACACTCTGCCCCGCAAACTGCCTGGCACACCTGAGGCCCCATGGCTTAACCATCAGTGAAGGTCTGGTGCGCTAACGTCCCTGCTACGCTAGGTTTTTCCAGTGGAAATGGCAAGAAAACGCCTTGCAGGCAACTAGCTTTGCTGACTGCATTCATCTGGCAAATGGAAGACAAGACACGACACCAGGCCCTGGAAGATCTGTCTCCAAGCTGCGTCTCTGGCAGAAGGTGAGTTCTGAGGAAGAAGCCGCCTGCTCTCCAGGCCTGGCGTCCGGCCAGCGCATAGAGCAACCGAAGCACAGAACCCGCAAGAGGTGGCACACCTACTTAAACTCATCCCAACTGAGAATTAAGGCAGAAGAGGCCAATTCTTGATGAAAAGCAAATTTTGCTAGAAGAGAGAAAAGCACTACGCTTTCCAGGCCTTGAAGAGACCGCTCAAGTAGGAGCCGATCAGAGAAACACAGTTTACCACACATGTGCTCAGTGAGCCCTGGTGTCCAGACTTCCTGGAAAGGTTTCCTAATTTACATAGAACAGCAGTATCTGGGTCCAGTGCTTTCCAATCGCAAGATAAAGAAATGTTTTCATTCGTTGCCCCTCACATCTTTACAAAAACAGGCCCAGTTACAAACCCTGCTGAGAAGAGGCAGGTGAGGCCCAGCACCGGGTGCCATGGGCGTCGTGCCGGGGAACTTCACGCGGTGTCGGGTCTTAGCTCAACGTCCAGTGTGAATACTTTGTTTCCAGCACACACCGCAGTAACATGATCGGTGGGACTAGGCCTTAAACACAGCACCTTTCCCAGGAGGGTGCCGAGGATGGTCCCTCGTGGAAGTCGCCCTGGAGGGGGTTGGGTCATTAGTGTAATGTCCGAGATGACCTCATGGGAGATGCTGAGAGCGTAACCCTCTATTCCAGGATTACGTGCAGAATGGCGTGAGCTTTGGTTTGATTTTGGCTCTTTGAGAGCATTAAAAACATTGAAAAGTTCTGGAAACACATGGAACACGGGCATTGTCTGTAGGGAAGACACTGCATCACGAGGATGACGGCGTGTCTTGCAGAAGGCCACGCGCACAGACTCCAGGTGAGTTGTGCATCCCATCCTCCCTCCTCCCTGCATCCGCCGCGGCTCCACACCTGGCCAGTGACCTGCTATGGCCCGCGGCAAGCAGGCAGAAGGGACACTGTGCCCATCTGAGCAGAAAGGTACTCAAGGAGACAAGACCATTCGGTCAAAAAACAAGAGAAATAAGAAATGATGGAAAACACCCACAAGTCCTTTAGACCTTGAAACCAAACCAGAACTGATCCAGGTGTCAAAACTACTAGATAAGGACATTTAAACAGTCATTATAACTTCATTTCATATGTTCAAAAGGTTAAACAGAGGCTTAGAATATATTTTTAAAAGACCCAATTCTAACTTCAAGAGATGAAAACTAAAATGAAAGATGAAAAACACACTAAGTGGGATTAAAAGCAGATTAGACATTGCAGAAAGAGAAGTAGGTAGTCTAAATAGGCCTATATCTGTTAAAGAAAATGAATCAATAATTGATAACCTTCTGAAACAGAAAGCACCAGGCCAAGATGGGCTCACTGGTAAATTCTACTAAACATTTAAGAAAGAAATCAGACCAATTCTCCAAAACGTCTTTCAGAAAATAGAAGAAAAATAAGAGGAAACACTTCAGAAGAAACAGAGGGAATACCTCCTTACTCATTCTATGAAGCCAGTATTACCTGAATACCAAAACCAGACAAAGACATGACAAGAAAAGAAAATTACAGACCAATACCTCTCATGAACAGAGATGCAAAAATCAACAAAATATTTAAAATATTAGCAAATCAAACTAAACAATGCATAAAATGAATTATAAACCATGACCAAATGGGATTTATTCCATGTATGCAAGGCTGGTTCAACATTCAAAAATCAACTAATCCACCATATCTACAGGCTAAAGAAGAAAAATCACACAAAAACATCAATAAAGGTAGAAAAAGCATTTTAAAAATCCAATAACAATTCATGATAAAAAAAAAACCTCTCAGTATACTAGTATTTAAGCATAATAAAGAATAGCTACAAAATATCAAAAGTTATCATATTTAAAGGTGAGAAACTAGAAGTTTTCCCACTAAGATCAGAAACAAGGCAAGGATGTCCCCCTCACCACTCCTTTCACCATCATACTGGAAGTCTTAGCTAATGCACTAATACAAGAAAAGAAAAGGAATAGTGTCTGAGAAGGAAGAAGTAAAACTGTCTTTGTTCACAGATGTTTCCATGATTGTCTATGTAGAAAATCCAAAAGAATGAACAAAAAATTCCTGAAACTAAGCAATTTATAGCAAGTTTGCAGGACACAAAGTTAATATATACAATTCTGTTGCTTTCCTATATACTAGCATTAAACAAGTGGACTTTGAAATTAAAAATACAATAACATTTACATTAGCAAAAATGTAATGAAATATGAAATAGGTACAAATCTAACAAAATATGCATAAGATCACCATGAGGAAAATTATAAAGCTCTGCTGAAAGAAATCAAAGAGGAACTAAATGAATGGAGAGATACTCCATGTTTGTGGACATGAAGACTCAACATTGTCAAGATGTCAGTTCTTCCCAACTTTATCTACAGATTCAATGCAATCCGAATGAAATCAACAAACTTACTCTGAAGTTTACACGCAGAGGCAAAAGACCGAGAACAGCCGCATAATACTGTAAAATAACACAGTTGGAGGACTGACCTACCTGAGTTCAAAGCTACTCCAAAGCTCCACCAATCGAGACTGAGTGATGTTGGCAAAAGAAAAGACAAACAGATCACTGGGAGAGAGCAGAGAGCCAGAAAGAGTCAACCGACCTTTAACAAAGGAGCAAAGGCAATACAGCGGAGAGCACGATACACTTCTAGAAGGTAACACAGGAGAAAACCTAGACGACTTGCGTCTGGCAACGACTTTTTAGATAAGGCACCAAAGACATGAGTCATGAAAGTAAGAATTAATAAGCTGGACTTCGTTAGCATTAAAAAATTCTGCTCTGTGAAAGACACTATCAAGAGAATAAAAAGACAAACCACAGACTGGGAGAAAATATTTACAAAAGACATAGATAATAAAGGACTGTTACGCAAAATATACAAAGACCTCTTAAGACACAACAAGAAAATAAACAACCCAATTTAAAAATGGGCCAAAGACCTTGACAGACACCCCACTAAAGAAGATACACAGATAGCAAGTAAACATATGAAACTTTTCATCAGGGAAAGTCAAATTAAAACAGCAGTAAGATACTACTATCCACTTGTTAGAATGGCTAAAATTCAGAACACTGACGACACCAAGTGCTGGCGAGGATGTGGAGCAACAAGAACGCTCGTCCTTTGCTGGAGGGAACACAGAGTGGTGTGGCCACCTTACTAGAGTTTCTTACAAAATGAAGCATACTCTCGTCATACAGCTCAGCAGTCCTGCTCTTTGGTATTCACCGAAGGAGTTGAAAATTTATGTCCACACAAAAATCTGCAGAGAAATTTATGTTTATAGCAGCTTTATTCATAATTTCCAAAACTTGAAAGCAACTAAGATGTCCTTTAGTAGGTGAATGAATAAATAAACTCTGGTCCATCCAGACAGTAGAATATGATTCAGCGCTAAAAAGGAATGAGCTATCAAGTCGTGGAAAGACATGCAGCAACCTTAACTACACATGACTAGAGAAAGGAGCCAATCCGTATGATCCCAACATACAACGTTCTGGAAAAGGCAGAACTCTGGAGACAGTACAAGATCAGTGGTTGCCAGAAGCTGGGGTAGGGAGGTGCGAACAAGCAGAGCCCAGCGGAATTTCAGGCAGTGAAAACACCCTGCGTGGTGCTAGAGTGGTGGCTACATATCATTGTACACTTGTCCAAACCCACAAAATGTACCACACAGCGGGGGAACTCTAAGGCGAACGATGGACTTCGTGTGAAAACAACGTCAATGTCGGTTCATCAACTGTAACGGATGTACCATCTGGAGGATGCTGAGCACGGGGGAAAACACGCATGTGTGGGCGCATATCACAGGGATATAGGATCTCTCTGTACTTTCCCCTCAATTTTTCCGTAAACCTAAAACTGCTCTTAAAAAATAATGGCCTCAAAATACAAAAAGCAAGTAAAAAGTAGAATCCAAAAAGAAATGTGTAGCCAAAATTCCACAGTAAGAAATATTACCAGGGATAAAGCATGTCACTTCATAATGTTAATGGAGTCACTTCACCAAGAAGACATAAAGATACTGAACATTTACGTGCTTAATAACAGAGCTTCAAAATACGTGGAGCAATACTGATAGAAGAGAAATAGACAAATTCACCTTTAGAGTCATAGATTTCAATATGCCTCTCTCAATAACCGATAGAGCAGGTGGTCATAAATAGAAGACTTGAAGAACGCTATCAACCAACTCGATCTAACTGACATTACTAAAACAAAAGACACACAAGTATTCATAGCAACTTTCTTTATAATAGTCAAAAGTGAAAATAACCTGAACGTCCACCAACAGGAGAACGGATAAACAAATTACAGTATATCCATACAATGGAATACTACTCAATAATAAAAAAAGAACAAACTGTTGATACATGCAACAATGTAGATAAATCTCAACATAATTATTCTAAGTGGGAGAAGCCAGACAAAACGAGGAGAAGCTGCCTGATTCCACTTACATAAAACTCTAGAAAATGCACACACACCAGTACAAAGTTTATATTTAGATACATAAAGAACCCCTTCAAATCAACAGGAAAAAGACAGATAATCCAGTAGAAAACTGGCAAGAGATTGAACACATATATCACGAAAGAGAATGGCCAAATGGCCAATAAACGTGCACAAAGGAGTTAAACCTCATTAATCATCAGGGAATTGCAAATCATAACTAAGTACCACTACACCGACCCGAAGGGACAACATTAAAAGGACCAAGTGTAGGTGAGGACGTGGACCCACCATGTGAAGAAGGACAGGTTGGTACAACCACTTTGGAAATCTTAGCTTTAACTTTTAGACTAAATATATGCGTCCCTTAAGACTCAGCAATTGTACATACATGTGCGTCAAAGACACATAAAAGAATGCAGCAATCAAAACATGGAGACCAACCAAACCTCCAGTAATAATAGAATGGCTAAAGTGTGGTCTAGCCGTACAACGCAATACTGCACAGCAATGAAAACAAGCAATGTGGATCAATCTCATAAGCATAATGGCAAACCAAAGAGACCAGCAAAAAAGAATGTGTAATGTGTGACACCATTTATACAAAGTTCAAACACGAGCAAAGCTACATGCTGGAAGTGGGGCCAGAGCCACCTCCGGGGACGAGACAAGGGAGCACCAGCTGAGGCAGAGCCTGGGCAGTGGCCGCCCGGCTGTGTTCACTTTGGTATTATCACTACAATGTGCACTTAACACCTGGGACACATTTTTCTAAGTATTTTATGCTCGATAGAAAAACAAGAGAGATCAAGCCGGAGATCGGAATGTAGGGTCAACTCATCAATGCAAGTTGTGTTGAAGAAACACATAAAAACCTCTCTTAACTAAGTGGGAAAGAAATCAAAATACAGATTTCCCTTCAGCAATGAACAGCTTCCACTATTAGTAAGGTGTTTGCCAGCATAATTAAAGAAAATTTCAAAGCAAATACAGTTTGGTTTGCATGTACTGTCATCACTATTCTCCAACCCCTGAAGCCCAAAATGAAGATTAAAACTATCCCAAAACCAAAAATGTTGATAGACTTCTGCTTTTTTATTTTTTACAATAAAACCTGTTTTTAAGAGTATTAAGATAATTATATTAGTCATGAAATAACCTTTAGAAAGAAAATTGATGTCTTTAAAACCCTATCAGTTTGATGTTAAAGATTCTGCAATAAACACAATAAACTCACTTATATGTTGTATTAAAAATCTACAATTAAAATTAAAAGTTCAACTTGTCTTGATTGCGTTAAGAAGAACCTCTTCTTGATAATATTCTTACTCAAGAAGAAATTTTAAATGATTTTAAAGTATTTAAATTTATTTTTAAATAAAGTGATTCCAGTTTATTTCCTAAGTCAAAACTTAATATGCTTTGTTTTGTTAGCATTTTTCTCCTACAGCTGGTAACTGAATCCACAAAGGGCAAACTCACCCAAACAGCATCAGAGGAACAGAGCTTGACGGCAAATTTCTGTGACTTAACAAAAAACACGTATAACTTTTTAAACACCTGGTGAGGAGGTTCCTTGGTGTCCCATACACAAAGTTCGTTTCCATCTAAGGGGAAAGCACAGGACTGCCCACTGCAGGCGAGCTGAACGTGGGATGCGGACTTCTTGGAATCCACCTGGTATTTTTCCACGACTATATCACCTGCGTGGTCATCATTCATGGAGAAAATCTCTTGTGGTTATTCCATCTTCAACCTGAAACACAAAGTACATATAAGCGGACTATGGGTATGGTATTTCATGCAGAGGACAGTCTGTTGTTTACTCGTAATTACCAGTATGATCACACACACGTCACACCTGGTGACTCGTCTTCCCTCCCCACCCCCAAGAAAAAGAAAATCACTGACACCCCGGAAGTTCCCTGTCATGACTGCTCACTGCTCTCACGGGCTTTCAAGTTAAGCAGACCTCGGTTCCAGCGCCACGGCTCCCACTGAGCAGACCTTGCTTCGACGCGGAGCGCCTGCTCCCCCACTGGGAACGGAGGGAACGCCGGCCACCCTCACAGAGGCCTCGCAAGGACCAAACGATGTTCCAGCACCGGCACCAAGAAGTGCTTTCAGAGAGCCACGACCAAAATCGAAGACTGTTAGCAACGATTAAGATGCAAAGTTATATTCTACACTGATGAACAAAGTCAGTGGTGAACTACAAAACAAATCCATACCCGTTGTGCATCTGGGACTCGTTCAACTAGTTCACAACATTCTAGGTCGTTAAAGTTGGTTACCTCGGCTTATACAACCACTGGTTCACTGGCTGTGTCTTATAAAGCATCAATCAGTGACACACAGACAGAAATGAAAACAGTCTCAGACCTGTCCCACTTCACAGTCAGTAACTCCGTAACGGCTACCAGGTTATACACACGCGGCAGTAGCCCTGGGTCACCCCTGATTCCGCACCGCCTCACGGGCACCAGACACACCTGAAGCCTCAGCTACAAAGTCGTGAGCAAAGCGCCTCGCCGTCCGGCCACCAAGCGGGTTGTTTAGATTCAAAGAACCCAGCCATGTGGTCACCATGCTGGCTGTATGGACTCGGCCTGGACAGGCCTCATGGGGGAAGTGGTAGTTAACACAGAATAAGACTCTGGACAGTTGCCAGCAGAGATGGGGTGGGGCTAGGAACTGGGGGCAGCTGATGCTCCCGAGGGGAGATCCTGGGATGGTCGCTGCTCAACAGACCGCAGAGCAGGTCTCATCCTTATGCTCAGGTGACCCTGGGGAGCTAAGAACTCAGACAATCAGGGCTGCCCGTCCGGAAACACACGTCAATCTGGCCACAGTGCCGGGGGTCAGAGTTGAGAGGGGCTGGGTGGGGACGACGTGGCTAAAGCCAAGCCCAGGCCTGGGGTCTGGCCCAGAGAGCCTGGTCAGTAGCTCTGCAAGGACAACGGAAGGTCAGCCAACACCTCAGTTTCCACCCTCTCCTTCCCTTGCAGACCTTTCCTGTCCCCACATTTCTCTTAACTGCACAACCGTTTTCCTAGTTTCCAAGTTTCCAGGCACAAAGCTTGGGTGAATATTAATTCCTTCCTTTTTTTGCCCTCATATCCAATCCATGCCCAGCCCTTTCTTTCTCCGTGGGGAATTTCAGATTTGTCCCTCAAACACCCAGCGAGTGAAGGGTCACGCCAATCCTAAAAGTCCCTCAAATCTGCTGCAGAACCTGGTGGGTTACCTGCTAAAATTGCAGTGATTCTCTCTTTCGGGGGCCAGAATCCCATTAGCACAGAAGCAAAGAACACGGAAGCCGAGGGCAAGCGGGATGCTGCCGTGGGGTGCGGAGCAGAGGACGCGCTGTGTAGAGAACAGCAGGACTGGCTCTGGGCCACTGGGTCCCAGCATTTGGTTCTACTCCTTCTGTCTTGGATTCGGTGGAGTTTCCCTTCGTCTAGGCTATTCTGTTATTTCCAACCAGAGAGCCCTAAATAATGGACTATCTGATTTCATTCCAACTGTGAAAAGAAACAGCACACAATCTGAGACAGCGGGAGCGCAGGACCTCAGCGGTGGGAAGTTCACTGCCAGAGGGGACCGGCCGAGGGGCCTCAGGCCGGGGCTCCCACGCAGCACACACCCGCACGACGAGGAATGCACAGATCTAGACTCCCCAGGCCACTTCATGGAGGGTGACCCCCCAGCATACACCTCCTGGGTCAATGGGTGGGGCTGTAATCACCTCCCAGCCTGCAGGTGCAGGGGTCGCGATTTAACAAGACAAAGGAGACAAACAAAAACATGCTACCTAGGAAACTCTGTTGGAAATAACCCCAAAGAAGGCAGGAAGCACTTCCAATAGGAGGTGGATAGAAGGCCTTATTTTAGCACCTGTAAGGCCAGACACCAGGCCCAGTCAGGCCTTGTGCGCTCCCCGATCTCCCCAGGACACACATTCTCTGTAGTAATAAATCAGAGACTTTGAAAGACTTGAGAAGCCTGCGATGTTTGGAGAAAACAAAAACAAAAATAAAATGTGTTGAATATTTTAAAGCACATTCTTCTCTAATTTACAAATTGGTTTTACTTACTTATTTTACATTTTCCAAGGTACAGCAGAGAGCTTCATATAAAAAATAGCTAAATGTTTCAAAGCTACCATGATTTGCTTTGCAAGTTTTATAATTGTAAAGCACCCAGTGCCTAGCACTGCTGGCACGTGGAAATGATGGGTGTACGTGTCCCCAGTGGATGAAAGGAAGTTACTGTGCCTCCTTCCGCTGTGTTTTGAAAGCGTAAACATTTCAAGAAACACATGAAATAATATATCAAAAGTCACAACTGTTTCAAAATTTTTAAGAATCCACCCATCAAACTGTGATAAACTGTATTGTATTTGTCTTATTTCAACTGTCTTAATCTCTTCTGTAATTCCTATAGAGTTTAGCACCATGATTTGCAAATAGTACTTTCATAGATATTAACATGTAGATTTGTGTTTATCAATAATACATTATATCACTTAATTCTTACAATAACCCTTTAAAATGGTTATATTTTTTCCCATTTTCCAGAGAACAAAATCAGAAAGATTAAAAGTGTTAAGACTAGTCAGTGGAATCGCCACACCTACACTTTCTGACTCGTGGTGGGTGGCACCTCCACCAGGTGCTTTTATGCAACCTCACAGCCCATCTGGTCCCAGAAAGCGTTGCCTCAGCAGAGAAGGAAACACACTGAGGGGAGGAGTGTGGGTTTGTGGTCTGCCACTCAGGGCCACCTCAGTGGCTTGGCATCTATGCCCACGGCGGCAGGTGACCATGCTCGGAGCTGCCACCTCCAAACCTACTCACCCTAGTTATTCTGACTTGAGCCCCAAGAGGATTTGCCAACCCTTGGGACCAAATGCACGGTTTGGGCTGGTCTCTCCCAGGAAATAGATGTGGCTGTGAGTTGCAGCCCATCCCAACTAATTCTAACCAACAGGCTGAGCAGAGCCCAGGACAGAACTCTGGACAGACAGCTGAGCTGGGATACAGTATGAAGGAATATCACCCTGAGTGTAAGAAACAGACCATTTTAATTTTCAGGGACTAGACAAACACTTGGGAAATAATAGCAAAAACAACTGAATTTCAGATGGATTGCAGGTTACCAAACACAATTAAAAAATAAAAAACAACGAAGGGTTCAAGATGGTGGAGTAGAAGGACGTGCGCTCACTCCCTCTTGCGAGAGCACCGGAATCACAACTAACTGCTGAACAGTCATCGACAGGAAGACACTGGAATTCACCAGAAAAGATACCCCACATCCAAAGACAAAGGAGAAGCCGCAATGAGACGGTAGGAGGGGCGCAATCACAGTAAAATCAAATCCCATAACTGCTGGTGGGTGACTCACAGACTGGAGAACACTTACACCACAGAAGTCCACCCACTGGAGTGAAGGTTCTGAGCCCCACGTCAGGCTTCCCAACCTGGGGGTCCAGCAACGGGCGGAGGAATTCCTAGAAAATCAGACTTTGAAGGCTAGTGGGATTTGAGTGCAGGACTTCGACAGGACTGGGGGAAACAAAGACTCCACTCTTGGCGGGCACACACAAAGCAGTGTGCGCATCGGGACCCAGGGAAGGAGCAGTGATCCTATAGGAGACTGAACCAGACCTACTTGCTAGTGTTGGAGGGTCTCCTGCAGAGGCGGGGGGTGGCTGTGTCTCACCATGAGGACAAGGACACTGGCAGCAGAAATTCTGGGAAGTACTCCTTGGCGTGAGCCCTCCCAGAGTCGCCATTAGCCCCACCAAAGAGCCAGGTAGGAGCAGTGTTGGGTCGCCTCAGGCCAAACAACCAAAAGGGAGGGAACCCAGCCCCACACATCAGCAGACAAGCGGATTAAAGTTTTACTGAGCTCTGCCCACCAGAGCAACACCAAGCTCTACCCACGACCAGTCCCTCCCATCAGGAAACTTGCACAAGCCCCTTAGATAGCCTCATCCACCAGAGGGCAAACAGCAGAAGCAAGAAGAACTACAATCCTGCAGCCTGTGGAACAAAAACCACATTCACAGAAAGATAGACAAGATGAAAAGGCAGAGGGCTACGTACCAGATGAAGGAACAAGATAAAACCCCAGAAAAACAACTAAATGAACTGGAGATAGGCAACCTTCCAGAAAAAGAATTCAGAATAATGACAGTGAAGATGATGCAGGACCTCAGAAAAAGAATGGAGGCAAAGATGGAGAAGATGCAAGAAATGTTTAACAAAGACCTAGAAGAATTAAAGAACAAACGGAGATGAACAATACAATTACTGAAATGAAAAATATACTAGAAGGAATCAATAGCAGAATAACTGAGGCAGAAGAACGGATAAGTGACCTGGAAGACAGAATGGTGGAATTCACTGCCGGGGAACAGAATAAAGAAAAAAGAATGAAAAGAAATGAAGACAGCCTAAGAGACCTCTGGGACAACCTTAAATGCAACAAAATTTGCATCATAGGGGTCCATAGGGGTCCCAGAAGGAGAAGAGAGAGAGAAACGGCCCAAGAAAATATTTGAAGAGATTACAGTCAAAAACTTCCCTAACAGGGGAAAGGAAATAGCCACCCAAGTCCAGGAAGCACAGAGAGTCCCAGGCAGGTTAAATCCAAGGACAAGACACATAGTAATCAAAATGACAAAAATTAAAGACAAAGAAAAATTATTAAAAGCAACAAGGGAAAAATGACAAATAATG